TTTAGTTGGGCGCTCCTTAGATGCCTTCGCAATCAAGTTTGGTTTCACCACAAACGTCAACAGATCTTGTCCAGGTAGCCACCACAGACACAAGACTTTTTTTACGCTTCATCCTGAGCTCTGATACGCTTGTCCAAATCCTCACAGGTGTCTTCCAGCGCATCTTGAAACCGCCACTTGCATGAATCCTTTTTACAGTTACAGTCAGCTAACTGTATCATTTGGGCTGCTGCATCCACCGACTGCAACCACTCGTCAACAACAAATGTGTTTTCGCAAATCGCCTTTACGGCATCTGGATGCTCCGCTACAAACCACTCGAGTTATTTGCTAGGGCTGGCGAACAGGATGCTCCGAACGTCATGACTTGCATAACGTACGCCCATCAAAGATGCTAGTGTATCAGGACCTTTCAGCAAACAATCATTCAGCTACATACTATTAACTTTGGCAGCCGCATCCCATACCAGGCGCGTCTTTTACTTGATCGGATTGGTGACTGTAAAGATAGGAAGAACCCACGATGTCGTGTTAGCTACTTCAGCCGGCGGATATATCCCTTCCGTTTGTAGTCATGCATCGTGTTCATCATGAACCCTTTCAGTGGTGGGTCTTTTGACATCTTTGCCTCTAAACATTTAAGGCGCTTAACAGCCATGTGGTAAGAGTCTAGCAGATGCATGCGATCAAACCTCGATAGCAGGCCGGTCTGCCAGCGCTTTTTGTCTTCCAGATAGGTTGTTGTTGCCTCCAATATCTGCATCGAGCGTTCGTCCTCTTTGGATCTCAGCAAGTGTGAGGAAGCGCTCACACCTAGTGACTCCAGTGAAAAATAGTTCTTCAGAGCTTCATCCAGCTGGAAAATATGTAGCAGCCGAGGCGTGGTGCTGTCCCCACAATAGGGCGGCCATATACGGCCCATCCTAGCCTGCTTCGCTCTGGTATGACGTCGTCGTTTTCACCATCTCGGATCTCCAGGAGTGCAGTTATGTTGATATTATGCAAACTTGTTATACAGCAGGATAGAAAGCGTAGATAAATGCTTCCGAGACTTAAGCAACTGTGGCGCGATACTTTGCTCTGGTAAGTCCAAGTTCGCTACAGCTGGATCAAGGGACCATCTATTCAGCCACTAATGCATATGTGCGCACGCTTTTTGATTTACTATAGAACATATCGAAACAGTGTTTTACTTGCGGACCTGCCGTGAAACATAACTGCAGACTTCATTGCCTTAATCCGGTTGTTGCTACCTTGGCCCGTGTGCTCGTCTTTACTACCACTCATGGTAGGCGTATGTAGCAGCACATGGTGCGTTGACTAGCATAAAACAGCAAAAACGGAGCTGCTTTTCGTTAACAAGTTCCCACCGCTGATTTGTACCCATGGATCTACCCTCACCTGTTCCTGTTGATAACTTTGCTGCTGAGAACCCTCAGGGCTGTCTACTGTATTGTGCACAAAAATTCGCTCTCTAGTGGTTTTCGTGGAGTTCTTCTTTTCGTTGTCAGTCCGTGGTGTCTCGTAGGGCGTGACCATAGTGGCGCATATTATCACATTAAACAGCCATTTATCAAAGGTGGCCAAACTGCTACCATAATTTGACATTCGATACCGGCCCCAGGAGGAGCAGCATGTACTATCTTAGAGCGGCCATACAACATATGGAATATGACTATAGCATACGGCACTGTAGCTGGAATCAAAGTTTTCCACGCACCGCATCCAGGGCTTGCCTTCTGAGGCACTTCTTAAGCCTGATGAGATTTTCCTCGTTGCTGAGTCCACATCTCTCTGTGGATTGCTCATAATTGCTGATTAAGATAAACCATTCCTCTGGTTTGCCTGTAAAAATTTGTAAGTCTTTACTGATGACATGTCGCGCACTGATTTGCGCAGATGTCAGCGATCCATTCCACGGCTTTACATTATTACAATGCACATTGGCAAATTGCTGCAGTGGCGCGTGCTCCCAGACCTGCGTATTTGATTTCTACGGAAAATTGGGGTGTACACTCCAAAGAGCCGCAACCTTTTTCTGCTTGTAGATTCACGTTCTGGTATCCCAAAGGGTTGAAGAATGCTCCCTCTTTCTCAGTTCTTTGGTGCATCGGTGTTGAACTTTCCCTTGGGCCAGTAGCTGCAGACGACGTAGACGGACAGCCGCTATAAATTTCTATGTTTGCTGCTCCGCTACCTTTTTCTATACCGGCGACTTTATCTTGTACTCCAGCAGGAACAGGCGATCCGTTAGCCTGTCCCGTTGACCATGCCGTTATAATCGTTGTAGTTCCACTGGGTTGAATACTACTTGTCCTCCTTCTCGCACTTGCATCTTGGTCATCACCGTCAACCATCTCGACAAACCAATACTATGAAATCCGCTTTGAGGTTATGGCAACTACGTGTGAACCTAACTCTTGTACCACTTGTTTCTCTATAGGAAGCTCAGGTTGTGACTTTGCAAGTCGCTTGCTTCGCAGAAATCTCCGCCCTCAGAATATGCTCGCTGCTGCAGAGAATATCTCAGAATGTTGGCACCGAGACTCGTGCCGGTGCGCGTATTTCCGATTTGATACAATTTGATTCGATGTACCATACGATACGATTTGATTCGAAATTACGCGCTGAAATCTTTATTATCTTTTCATTATTTAACAACATTTTACAAGTTTATGAGCCTTACATTCGTGGTCCGCATGCGCATCTGTTCTCTTTCATTTCCGCTCAGCTGCAAGCACAAAACGAAAATGGTTTGTATGTACAAACTAACTCTATGCAAGACCCAGTAGGACTTAGTGACTAAACACGAACCTTTTTAGATAGAAACGCAGATTAATTAACAAATGAACTTCTCCTTTTCTCACAGCAATACGCGGAAACCGTTCCAACCCTTAGTTCAATTTTATAAGAGCGCGAACTTGCTACAAAATATATGTCAAAAATTTGGAGCCCAAAATTTTCCAAATATACATTATCTCTATAAAACTGTTTGGTAACCAACGTACAGTTCGAACCATAAGAAGGAAACTAGGAAAATGTTGTTTTAACTGTAGTTACCTTGTATTTTGGGAAATTCCATCCTCTAGGGTGTTTAAATCGAGAAAACATTTTGTATGTAACTTGTTTGTTTACCAACCGATCGCCCTCAAACTAATTTTCAAAGATCTTTGTTCAAATTCATTTGATCGGTGAGTGGCACTTTTTGGAAAAACCAATTATCCTTGGTGGAAAGAAAGGTCAAAGATTTGGTGGATAATGTTTTAGGTTCAATTTCATTTCTAAGAATATTTATGAAAATTTATTTGAGACGTGTTTCACACTTTTTTTAGAATACAAGCTTCCATTAAAGAGTGTGTCAATTTTAAACAAGGCTGGCGTAACTAAGGAGGCGCTTTATTTTATTTTAAGCTGACTGTTTCATAAAATAACTCATATGCTCAAGTTTATTCTCTTTAGATCCAAAAGAAAATATTTGCAAATATCCTAAAATGGCATCTTCTGGTGCAGCTGAAGAAAACGAGCCCCAATTTGAAAACGCCGATGCTTATTATGATGATGGTATAAGTATTATTGAATTATTTAAATACTTTTAACTTACTATAGTTATAATTCTTAGGACATACAACAGGCAACCGAGAATCGAATGAGTCAATACGTACATATTTATCTAGTACAGTGTACACTAAGGAAGATTTGGAAAATTTAGTTGAGCTTATCCAACGAATGACGATTTTATATTCCCTTGATCACAACGATTGGACTGAAAACACTCTAAACATTATAAGACTTTGGATACTTAAGCCGAGCAAACCAATGCTTACCTTGTTTTACGATTCAAATATCATAACGGCCTGCCTAGGATTCCCAGTTGCTCCCACTCTTGACATAAGTTACTTTGTGCGATCATCTAATCAAATATTTACCGTTGATTCATTTCATGATTTTGTAAATTTTGGGACCATTCATAATGATGTTGACGGCTGCCTGCTTCGTATTCTGGAGCTGGCATATGCACCTGTATTTCGGAATCACTCAGATTGGGATGATAATATAAAACAGCGCTTCTGCAAAGCCTTAGACAAATTTCTTGTCTATTTAACAGGAATGCACTTTAAAATGTCAGGAATGACGGTATTATATGTTCCTTATATTGTGAGGCAAATTCCACGGCAAAACATTTCCTATGATCCTGAGTTTGTAAAGAACCTTGAGTCAATCTCTGTTTTTTGGGCAACGCAGATACGCACTCTTTTGAATGACAAGACTTTAACGGTCCCCAATGATTTCGTCATATTAGAGGATGAATACGAATTTTGGCTTTATCGTTGTAAGTATATAGTCTTAGCTCTAAAGATGTTTAAATTAATTTGTGGTCCTGTAGTTGAAGTTCTACAGGCGCTCAACACACAATTAGAACAAGTTGATGTACAAAGTATAATTAAAATACTTCGAAATTCTCATTCAGTGTATATTAAACAAATTGATGAACTTGTTTATGAGTCAAGGTCTGAAATGGAACGGGCAATGTCAAACATCAAATTTCTACATCTTCTTATGGACCCATGTGCTGAAATTAATCTCACTGAAAGTCCTGCAGTATTATCTCAGCTATTGCCAAAAATCATTAATCTTATCTATTTTATTTGGGTAAATTCAGAACATTACAATAGACGAGACTTAATTACAAGTCTTTTTCGTGACTTGAGCAACCGAATTATACGCTTTTGCACAGAAATGATAAATTTGGATAAAATACTTTCGGGCAGTTCCCGATTTGGAATTAAAGTCTGCAACTTGTCTCTGAACTGTTGTCTTACCTACAAAGGTATCTATAGTTTAATGGCAAAAGAAAATGCTAAGTTTGATAATAGCTTGGCTTGGAACTTAGACAATGCTATGATTTTTAACCACGTAGATGCTTTTATGGAGCGCCTAAATGATGTCATCGACATATGCGAGTCGATGATTGTATTTGGAAGATTGGATGAAGCTGAGAGCATTCCTAAGCCACAATTCGGTGGCACTACTGGGCCTGAGTTTGAAAAAACAACTGAGTCAGTTGAGAATCAATTCCTGGCAACCTTGACAGCGCTAAATACAGACTCCAAGGAGTTAATATTAAATGTGCATAAAAACGATTGGTATGAAGAAGTTCTTAAATATCGACGAACAGTTCAAAGTATGGATGAGACTGTCCAACGACTTATGTCGAATGTCTTTTTACATGTCTGCAACGTTGAAGAAGCAATCGAATCTTTAAATGTAATGCTTTTTTATTCATATCGTAGCTCCATAAGAAAATCGTATTTGCGACAAGTAACAGAGGTTTGGTTATTGTTTTGTAATGAAATGGACTCAACCTCACATATTTTAATGGATCGCAGCAAATTGCATGAGACGTGGGTACCATATTATGCCTCCAGAGCTATTGGTTATCGTATTAATATAGAAAGACTTACGTGGCTTCGAAATCGTTTAAATTCGTCTGAATGGTTACCAAATGTTTCTGAGGCTTTGATTGTGCTAAATAAATTTGAAAATTTGAGAAAGGAGTTTGATAAGGAGATGCGTAAATCATATGACGAATGGCAAAAAAATTGTTGTAGCACACTTTTAAATCAAAAGCTGGACCGATTTTTACTTGCTCGTAGTAAAAAAAAAAAGGGACTTCTCGAGTGCAACATAGACCCAAGCGTATTAAGTATTTGCGAACAAGCCCAACATTTTTCACGTCTTGGGTTTTCGGTACTTGGACCGGTGCGCAAAATTTTTGAAAAACAAGATACCCTCCGATTTGTTTACAACAGTGTTTTGCAAGTATGTCTTAACTACAATCATATACTATCCGCATTATCCGAACAGGAAAGAAAGTTTTTTCGGTCTCTAATACAAGCGTGCGATCGAAAGATTGCTCCAGGAGTCTTTAAATTAAGCTATGGAGGTGACCTAAGCGATGCGTATATCGCAGATTGTGCTAAACATACAAATAAACTACAGGAAACAATGGATATGTATAAGCGTGCTAATAGGAATATTGCGCGGACTTGCGAAAAGATTTGCAATACACCAATGTTAAAATTTACATTTACAGGTGCAGTTGCTATATCACTTTTTGAAAGCCATCTTTCTAATTACATTAGACGTGTAAGTAATGTACTTCGAGGATACTATAACACAATAACGGATCTTTTATTTGCTGTTTTTATGAAGTTCCAACCAGTTATCGAGGATGTAAGTACAAAACCAAAAAATATTCTCATCTTCGGAACCCGAAGATTCAATACTTATGCACAAATGGACAATGCACAATTTCGTAAACAAAAAAGTAGACCATTTGTTTTATCAATACCTCGTAGTCCCTTCAAGTAAACTAATAATTTTCATTATAAGCAATATGATAATCAAAACTCATGTTCACTGAAATCTTTCTATGAATGTGTGCATTAAGCAGACCTAAATCATCTTTAGGAAATTTAATAGCAGGGGTACTAATCTCATTCAGACCAGAAATTTGTAAGCTTGCTGGCAAGGCGTATGGAACGGAAATTTTACCTTTAACGTAGCGTTAACTACTAGCGGGGATGCCAGGATAATTGCTCACACGGACAACCATTGGAACCACTGGCGTCCACTTCTTAGCTACAACTTCTAAGCAAGCCCTACTGTACTTTCAGCTTCCTATGCCGTGCCAATTCTATCAGACGCAGCAATAAAATTCTTGACTACAATTATTTACAAATATATAACTGCGATGCTTCTGCGACCTTTGCAAGGCTGATAAATGTTATTCCCTGACTGAAGTTTAAACTCATTACTGGCCTAATATCTCATATTAATTTTCCATAATATAAATTTTGTAGCATAAATTGGGGATACTAGGAGATATCCCGAACCTTCTATCAATACTTAGCTTAACCATTTTTAATGGAAATGTCAGAATGAATCGTCTCCATCCCCATAAAGTGTATATATTCTTGTTTACCTTTAATAGGCGAGCCGATATAGCCATGTCCGTCTGGCAGTCTGTTTCTTTGTGAACTAGTCTCAGTTTTAAATCAGATTTTACCGATAACTAAAAATAAAAAAAAAAGATTAATTGGAAGTCCCCACCAATTTAAGCCACAATATACTTTTTGAGAATATACGAATAGACTATATCACAAGAAGATCTACTGCTAAAAATTACATCAAGATCGGTCAGGAAACACAGAAATTTCTTAAACCGTGCGGTAATTCCACGTATAATGAGACGCGATTTTTTTTCGAGCGAATTTTGATGCATAAAACTCTCCCTCACGCCCCACCAACGTACAACACAAGTCGCGACGTAGAAAACGAGTACAAACTACGACTATATGCTAAGACCTTGTACTTGATAAATAGATCAGAATAGAAGACTTTATACGAGGAAGAGAAGACTCCGAGCAGAATATTATGTAATGCATGTTCCAATCATCACAAAGTACCCTGAATGTTTAATGCAAGGTATAGTAAATTGATTAATTAATGAACGAAGACTAATCATCAGAAGTCTACTGGAGTATAATGGTAACCGCATTCGAGGATCCCAATTTAAACCACGAAGAGCAAACAAAAAGACTGGTTTCTGTACGGATTCAATTCTAGCTTGATGGATAGAATATTGTGGTGACCAGATACATGAGGAATACTCAAGTATAGGTCATACCAAAGATATATAAAGGGTGTTTGTCGTGTACAACAAACAAATAAACAATTTGGGCCTTATTAACCACGGTCTTAACATGAAAGTCGAATTTAAGTTTATGATCCAGAATGACACCTAGATCATTAACATCATTACAAGAACTGTTGACAAGCTCGAGAGGTAAGCTTTCAAGGATTTAAGATATCAATTGGAGAGGGCTATAGAAAGTCAGTTTACAGTTTAAACATAACAGGATGACTTGACACCAAGACTGAAACGCATCAATGTGGGCTTGTAAAAGATAATATGATTTCATATTTTTATACGCAAGGCATAATTTCACATCGTCAGTATACATTTTTAATTGCGAGTGAGACAGTATCGAGGAAACCTCATTGATGAAAAAAGTAAAGAATAGCAGATCAAAAGGAATTACTTGAACACCGAAAGTCCTAAATACATTTAGATAATGAATTTCTGAAAAGAACCTTGTGGGTTCTGTTACGCAAATAATATGAGATTCAATTTACAAGATTGACTGGATGTATATGCAGTAAGGAGTAATTAACGGAGTCGAAAGCCTTACTGAAATCAGTCTAAATGACGTCAGACTGCATTCTTTTCTTAAAATAATCAAAAGCTAGTAAAGTAAAACTCAAGAAGGTTAGTGGTTGTAGATCGGTGCTTTACGGTGAAATAATAGAGCTACATAAATGTTGCAGTTGAGATGTTATGATTCGCTCAAAATCTTTAGGTATAGCGGATAATTTGGAAATACCTTTTTAGTTTTCAACATCGGATTTTGTCATATGCTGCTCGACAATATCGCCAAAGAAAAGCTAAGTTAGTGAAAAAAAGAAATAGTGCTTGTACATCAAAAATTTATAAACTAAAGTCAATAAAAAATGCTGCCATAACGCTGTTGTAAGTAATAATAAAACTTTATAATTTTTCGTCATTTTTATGATATAAATTGTATTTTACTAGTGCGTTGTGTGGCGGAAGACTCTGCCGAAAACACGTACATCTTAGTGAGATAGTTGGTCCTTGTGAAAATTCAAAAGTTATAAAATTGTGCAAGTGTAAATCAAGTGGCAAGGAGATAAAAAAATTGTTTAAGAAACCCTATTCCTAAAATTGAGTACCTAAAAAAAAGAAATAATAATCACAAAAAGAAAGTTTCGTCCGTTAAACTTAAAAATTTAAGCTTACAATTTCAGTCGTAACATAAACAAATATTCAAATTAGTTATTTCAATTATCTTCTATTGTAATTGATGTTGCTGATGTGTCGTAACATAACAATCATAACAAACATTTTAAATTAATTAAATTTTTCTCCTAGTTTAGCAGCCCCACACGCAAACACACAATATCTTTCTGCGTGGGATGTTGAAATCACAAACATTAATACCTACACATTGATATAAGCGGGTAAAAACTTCTGTTTTACTCGTAAACTAAGCTGAGCGACCAAAATATCCAATGCTGATAAGATCGAGTAAAAGCTTTCCTCTTGCTCTATTTTTTAGCTTAGGTCACAGCCAGTACTTTATATTTGTTGTGCAAATAGCAGCTAAAGTATTTACACAGTTAGCAGAATAAATGATATTGAATATTTGCGTTATAAATACCTCTATACATAAAACTGTTTTTTCTGACTAACTGACTGCCTGATTGGTTATCAACACACAGCCCAAACCGTAAGAGCTAGGAAGCTGAAATTTTCACTGTAGTTACCTTTTGAGATGAAGGTGCACCCACAATTGTGGAAAAATCGCAAAAAAACAAAAAAAAGTAATGTCAATTTACGTGGCCTATTTTCGGAAGATAGTTATTGCACAAGGTACGCTTTGTGATGCAAAAATGCCCACAAATTCAATTTTTGTCAACATGAGTAATATGAAATAATGAAAGGATTTGCCAAGTCGATGCGAAATTCTTTAATTTTAGCTCGTTCTTGTTCGAAAGGTTACCTAAGCGTTGGCATGTGTGCATTTAAGAGTTTTTGGACTTGCCATTCACGCATACTTACGTATTTTGTATATGAATAGAAGCATTTATGCTCATGCGTGCCTGTTGGTCCCTGCCTGCCTGTCCGATGCAAATTTGACAATATTTTTGGATTTCTGAATTTCGAGCTCTACACACACATACAGAGACACAAATGTGTGTGAACGGGCTGATCATGGGCGCAAAAGAAAATATCATTTTTGGCACGCGTCTGTCGCGCACCGTTCTTTTTATGATTTAGGGTTTGAATTGATGAATGAATGTTGACCCCTTATTACCTGCAGCAGCCCGTTGGGCCGAAAGGGTAAAATTTTGGCAAGCACCTGCACTTGCATATA